GCTTTTGCTTGGCCCTCAGACGTAACGAGGAGAAATGATGTCTTCCCACCGTGCAGGGGGAAGGTGAGGGCTAGGACGAGCACTGAATAGGGGACAGAGCTGTGATGAGCTCATGTGCAGGTGGGTCTAGACTGACCCATGTCATTCTGCATCTGCGCCGGGTGCAGTGCATCCTAAGGACGGGCACTGCCCACCAGGGAGGTCCCAGGGTAGCCTCTGGCTACACCAAGCTCTACCGCCCTGGCCCTGGGCACAGAGAAGGCTCCTGTGGCTTGGGGGCTTTGGAGGAGGAGGGTTGCGCTGTCCATCCTGTTTGCTGACCTTGCACCAGAGCTTAGCACCCCGAATTTGCCACTCCACAGCAGCACATGCTTCTGTACCTGCACAGAGCCAAAATTATTGAGTTTTCTGGGAAAACCCACCCAAGCAGCCACCAGAGCTGGTAAGTCATGACAGGCTCTGTCTCATGCAAGGGTTTTGGTTTTGCACGATGCGTCCTTGGTGGCACTGAGAGCCTTGGGGCGATGGCCGGGGTGAGTGGAGATATCTGCAGCCACAGATAGTGCATGTGAGGGTACAGGGGAGCCCTTGGCTGGTGTGAGGGCTGAGGGGCCTGAAAGCAGCTTTGCTGGGACAACGGGGCTGAGGCAGCCGGGATCTGGAGGAGGGAGCTGCCATTTTCAGGTGGTTACTTTTAGAAGCAGAAACGCAGGGTAAAATCTCCTCCAAATGTTGCTGAATCTGGAGCCAAATCTCTCAGCAGTTCTGCAGTGCTGGGTTTTGGCTTGATCCGAGCATTATTTCCCCTCGAGCATCATGTATCTTTGGGTTAGTGAGTGGTGGAGCCCAGCAGGGTGCACCTCAGATCCCTACGATCGGCACTTCCACCTTGAGAAGGTCTCAGGTGCCAGACGAGGGCTCTGGGGACAGGGCTCGGTGGCCGGGGTGACGCTGACATCTCTGTGTCCCCGTTCCCCTCTGCAGGCACCGGTGGGGCTGTGGCCGTGAGCGTTCGTCCCTGCTCTGCCATCCCCGCCCCCCTCCCCTGCCACCCCCCCCCCCCGCAGCCATGACGACTTCGGCGCTGCGCCGGCAGGTGAAGAACATCGTCCACAACTACTCGGAGGCAGAGATCAAGGTGCGGGAGGCCACCTCCAATGACCCCTGGGGACCCCCCAGCTCCCTGATGTCAGAGATCGCCGACCTCACCTTCAACACGGTGGCCTTCGCCGAGGTCATGGGCATGATCTGGCGGCGGCTGAACGACAGCGGCAAGAACTGGCGTCACGTCTACAAAGCCCTCACCCTCCTGGACTACCTCATCAAAACTGGCTCCGAGAAGGTGACCCACCAGTGCCGGGAGAACCTCTACACCATCCAGACGCTGAAAGACTTCCAGTACGTGGACCGCGACGGCAAGGACCAGGGCATCAACATCCGGGAGAAGGTGAAGCAGGTGATGGCGCTGCTGAAGGATGAGGAGCGGCTGAAGCAGGAGCGGGCGCACGCGCTGCAGACCAAGGAGCGCATGGCCCTGGAGGGCATGGGCAGCGGCAGCCA